GAGCACATGAGAGGGGGGAGGGTCAGAGGGAGAAGCAGACTCCCTGCCGAGCAGGGAGCCCGATGCGGGACTCGATCCCGGGACCCCAGGATCATGACCTGAGCCGAAGGCAGTCGCTTAACCAACTGAGCCACCCAGGCGCCCAGGTATTGTGAAATTTTTAAAAATAACTTCGGATTAAAGATTTTATTTATTTGAGAGAGCACAAGCAGGGGGAGTGGCAGGGGCTCCTGAGTGGCTCAGTGGGTCACGTGTCTGCCTTTGGCTCAGGCCATGACCTCGGGGTCCTGGGATCGAGCCCCACGTCAACTTCCCTGCTTGGTGGGGAGCCTGGATTAATTTTTAATACTGTATGTGGGCTCTATGTGGGTATTACTTTTGTCTAATAGAAAAAAGTCTGAAATGGTGCTTTGTTCAGAAACATGAATGAAATTTTCTAACCCGGGTAATTAGTTAATATTAGGGTCTGTAGCTGTCACCCAGCACATGATGAATTATTGCTATAAAATCCTGGAGATGCAGAGTAAGGAGCACTGAAACTTCAAACGGAGTTTCTAGATTTTCCTTACTACAGAGGCACCACTGTACTTTTCAAACAGTTTCTCTGAAATTGGTAACATGTATTCTTCTCTGTCTAAATTTAAATCTCTGCTTAAGCCCTGCCATTCTCCTCTTTGTCCAACCCCGGGCAACCACTAATCACATTTCTGTCTCACACATCAGTTAGCATTCTCTAGCATTTCATGTGGAGCTCCAAAATAGATCGTGCACTCTTCAAAAAAAAAAAGTGGCCAGTTTATAAAAAGGCACTCTGTAATTTATTCATAGATCGAGCCACAAACACATAAATATCCTATGTTGCCCTACCCAAGAGTGTGGCCAGATGGTAAATTAGCTTGTTCAGCAGCTATCTATTTTTTTTTTTTTTTAAGATTTCTTTATTGATTTTGGCGGGGAGGGGCAGAGGGAGCGGGAGTGCGGAGTCCCAAGCGGACTCTGTGTTGAGCGCGGACGGAGCCCGACTTGGGGCTGGATGCCACAACCCCAAGACCACGACCTGAGCCGAGACCAAGAGTCGGGCGCCCAGCCAACCGCGCCCCCCGGGCACCCCGCTGCTTTCGATCTTTCCTCCGTAGGCCGGTTTTATCTCAGTGTGGGAGGCGGGCAGGGGCCCCAGCAGCCAGGAAGAGCGTCGCCGTGGGCCGGTGGGACAAAGCGGTGGCGTCCT